CTCCACGTGGCCTCCTCCGCAGCCGGCCCACGCTAAGTGCTGAGGTGTGGACGTCAGGAGCCCCGTCATGCCTCGGGCGCCCTGCATGCATCTGCCTGCTTTCGCTCAGCACCGGCTCCGTGCTCCCAGCGCCTGGCTGTATCCGTGCCCACCCCACACCCGCCTGTTCTGCGGTGGGTGGTACCCCAGAGCTTCCTGTGTGTGCCTGTGTGTGTATGTGTGAACAACGCTCCGGTGTGCACACGGTCTGGTGTGTCTTCCTGCACGTGTGCAGTGGCCTGATGCGTGCCTCAGGACACAGCCAATGGGCATGCGTGGCTTTGCCTGGTAACCCCAAAGTGTTTTGCAAAGCAGTTACATCCATGTATCTTTCACTTAAAATCAATAGACCTACGGACCACCAACAGGCCTCCAAAGGAAACCAGCCCTCCTCCTGTTAAACTGGGGTCTGAAATCAAAGTGGAGGAAACCCCCTAAACCAGGACTGCCAGGAGAAGTTCTGTCCGGCTCTTCTTAGTGCTAATGTGCCACTGATCAGTGATGACACCAGAAATAGTAACGGGGTGGGAACAATTCACAGCGCCCCTGTGGAACACGGAGCTCCTCTGTGGCGAGCCAGCGCTGCTTGGGTTTGGACATCAGCCTATGGTCAGAGGACCCAAGCTCCAGAGCAGGACACGGTGTGCGCACAGGAGGGGGAGGACAACACCCCTCAGCTTCTGTGCACACGTGGCAGGGGCGGGCGGGGGACAGCGTCCCCTCTCCCCCCGGGTGCTCCAGACTCACCACCCCACCTGCAGGCGCCTCCTTCCTCAGCAGGCGCAGTTCGGTTCCGAGTCTGGAGAGAGAAAAGCTATCCATGTCACCTGGGTGGGACCCGCGCGGTCATCAGTCACCTCTGGTGAGGTGCTATGGTCACAAATGTGTGTGACAGAAGTGAGACGCAGGCCACAAGACGGTGAGGGAGACTGGGAGATGTAAGTACTCTGCCGCCCTCGGGGATGCAGATGGAGCCACGGGGTGGGCGTGGGGGTGAGGGGCACCTAGAGGCTTAAACGGCATCTCCGCAGGGGCAGGCTGCCAACAGCACGGCCACAGCCCAGACAGAGTGAGTCTGGACTTTCAACCTTTAGAAAAAGGTTAGGATTTTTTTAACACACTCAGATTAATCTGCACCGGAACTGGAATGAGAGCCCCTCATCCCGGGAGCATTGCACACGTCTCCTCCTTGCACACACAGCTGCCACACTTAGCACGTTTCCTACTCAGCTAGGCCCTTATTGCCACTGTGGCCCCGATCATGACAGCAGAACTAGCAGGCCTGTCACTCCCTTCTTCACCATTTCTGGGGCAGACTGTTCTTGTGTCCTGCGTAAGTGGAGAGCTTTGCTCTCTCACACAGAGCACTCACAGCTCCCCCGACCCATCTGCCTGGAGGCATCGTGGCTTCAGCAGCAGCGTTATCCACAGGAATGCGGGTGAGCTGATCAGAGACACGGCCACACTGCACCAGGCAGCCTGGCATCCGGGGCCACCACTGGGCGGGCAAAGGCAGGCAGCATGGGCCTGTGACACAGGGACAGTTACCACCCTGGCAGATGGAGCACACAGAGCCACATGCCACCACTCAGGACAGAAACTTCCAGACCACGGCTGACCGTGAGCCCAGTGCAGTGAATGGGGCGGGGTGCGAGGTCTACTGGGGCTCACACAGGGAGCAGGAGCTCCAGCCCCATTCGAGTATCTCCAGGACACGCGTCAGCTGAGGCACTGTCTCCTCAGGCCCCTGCAGGGCCAGGTGGGTGTGTGGATACGGGGGTCATTTTGGTTGCCACCAGCAAGACCCTGAGGGTCATTGCTGCCCCTGCAGACATGAGACCCCCGGGAGGCTTGGGGGAGCCAGGCAAGGAGCTCGGACGCCTGCACCTCAGCGCCACTCTCCCTGCGGTGACATCCCTGATCCTCAGGGGGGTTTGCTCCAGCTCAGCGCTAATAGCAGCTAAGCCGAGTGGGAAGTGCTTCAGTTCTGAGCCATTAAAAGACAATCGATACAACTGTACACCGCACTGTCCATTCCGCCCTGCACTCAGCATCTAGCTACCCGTGATGACCTTCTTCCTGACCACTCCGCGCCTTGAGCAGGAGGCAAGATGGGCTTTGCTGCCTTAAAGTGGCCATGGGGGACTCGAGACCGTGGAGAACTGTGGGCTCCAGCCCTGTCCCTCTGAGGTCGCAAATCTCCCACAATGTGCTGTGAGATGGTGCAGGGCACAAGCAGGCATCACACATAGACAAGCCGTCCTGGGCCAGGACCCAGGCCCCCATGTCATGCACCCCAAGACCCTGTGAGAATAATGCAAAGGAAAAGCTGTCCCTCGCAGCGCCAGGTCCTCGTCCGACCCTGAAGGCAAAGGTCAGGACCCTCTGCTTTCTGCTGAGACGCACTGCAATGCCCCTCAGTATCACCCCGTCAGCAGCAGTGCGGTTGCTGAGACCTGAATGCACCATGGACCAAGGACTCATGGATGACAAAGTGCAGTGGGGCCGGAACCAGCTCAGATCCACAGCCTCGCTTGCTCAGAGCCCTGGCGTGCACGCCCAGTCCTGTGCGTGCTGAGCTCCTGAGCCTTCCACAGACGCCCATGCCTCCCCACCTGCCTGCCTGGCCACCGGCCTCCTGCCACACTGGGCACAGTGAGTCACCACAGTCCCACACACATGCACGTTTCTGCCCACTGACGGCACCTTCCTCCAGCTGTGGGCGCCACGGACGACGAACTCCTACCGCACAGGCAGAATGGACTCAGTCCTCAGTGAGGCCTGTGGTGCCTGACAGAGAAGGTGATCCACGGCAGATGTGGCTGGCAGGGACACACAGGCCCAAAAGTAAACACAGGACCCAAAGGAGGGGCTGCTCCAAGGAGGCCGGTGAGGCCACACACACATCAGACAGTGACAACGAGCACCTGCACAACCAGGCCTGTGCCAGGCCACATGCGTCGATGGCCCAGGAGGGCATCGAGCTGGCATCAAACCACGAACACTGGGTCAGCCTCTGCTCTCCTCAGAGGGAGCCCACTCCTGGTCAGGCTCACCCGAGTCTCACTCGCGTCCCCCCCTGCCATGCTGTGACTGGAGAGGGTGGCACAGCGTGGGGTGCACTGCAGGGCACCAACCTGCCTTGCCAGCCTCCCCACCCACAGCAAGGAGCTCGGGCCACGCCAGGGAGTGGGGAGAAGCAGGCCTCCCTCTGGGGGTGGTGGGAGCCTCTGACTGTGTCCGCGGTGGGAAACAACCCAGGGGAAACGGAGGCAGAGAACAGTAGAACAAAAGATCTGACCACAACAATACCTGGGAGCCCCTGGATTTAACCCTGCCTGAAGCCCACCTGGCTTTAAACTCACTAATCACACCACCATCAAACTACCTTTCTGCCAGCATCATTGTGGGAGGGCTTTTGCAACTAAGCACAAATCAACATTTTACAACTTCTGTGACAACACCCTGGGGAAGCCCTCTCCACAACCCACACTGCACTGAGACCTGGCCGGCAGAATGTGATCTCAGGAGTCCAGGCCCCAGCTTGACACTGTGGAACCCTAGCCAGGTCAGCGAAGCTCATGGGTCCACTCCCATCTGGGAAGTAAGGTGATAACTGTCCCTGCTGTACAGGGACCATGAAGCCAGAGTTTGCATGGGCTCCTTATACAGTACTGGTACTGGAAATGCTCACGATTCCAGCTGTTCGTTACAGTAATCACCACCATCAGCACCACCACCACCACCGCCATCACTGTCGCCCCTAGTTGGGTCATGATCATCACCGTCCTCACTGCTGTCCTCACCACTGGCTTGTTCACACTGCCACAGCTGTGTCTTCAGTTCTGAAGCCTGCATCAGCCTCACAGCCGCTTTCTCCCACCATCCAACCTCCTCCACCAGCAGAATCAACGTCCGGCCTCCCTCCTGCAACATGAAGCTTCCTCTCCACAGGAAGCTTTTCTTTTTGAGCAAAAGATGTTCCTGTGTGAGTTGTTTCTTCTAAACGAAACCCTTAGTATTCAGATTTAATGGCGGTGCTGGTACTTTGCGGTAAGCAGCTGGGTTTTGTGTCGTAGTCCGGGCTCCTGTCTCTGAAAGCTTTGCCATCACTGACTTAGTGAATGCAGCTGGGCAGAGGGGAGTTTGGAGACAGAACGGGGGTGGGTGGTGACAGGTGTTGGCTGGGGGTCTGAGCCCTGCAAGGCAGACACACAGCTCCAGGCTACAAACGTCCATCTCCTACCCTAAGGCAGATCTCAAAAGACAGTGCAACTCCCAGTGCAAAGGCAACCTTCAGTGCCAACAAAACCACGCATGAAGCAAACGTTCAAAGCCACAGTAGAGTCTTCCTTGAGACAATCTTTTTAAATCGAAATGTGGGGTAAGAAAAGGCAGCAGGAGCCTCAGCGGCCCTCTCGGCCCCACTGAGACAGGCCCATCCCTGATTCACTGAGCACTGCACCCCCTCTGAACCTGCTGGCTGAGAGGACACCACGCCCCACGTTCCCACCTAGACCTGACAACGGCCGGGCCTCTCTGAGTGCATCTGCGTGGTGATCTCTGCACACTCAATAAGCCCTGAGCCTGCTGGCCATCCTGCTGGCAGCCTGGAGTGAGCCTTTGGCCGCCCTCTGCTCACACCCAGCCTTCTGCCACCTCAATGCAGGCTGTCACATGGCCATTGCCTGTCCATGATGCTGGACGTGGGAATGCGTAAGCCAGCAGGCTGAGTGCTCTCCCAGGCTCAACGTCTTCCGGCTTTGGACACTGCAGTCTCCCGCCACAGAACTGCAGGAGCTGCATGCCCACCATTACCCTGCACCTCGGTCCTGGCCAGCTTGTCTCTGTCCCCACGGTGCTGGCCACCGGCACGGTGCATCCCAGGCAAGTCATCGCGCCACCAGCGTGGCACACCTGGACCACCCAGCCTCCTCCCCCTCCCGCCGCTCCACTCTTACCTTCGAAGCTCCCGGCGAACAGGTAGACCCAGGTGAGGGCCGGGATGCACAGCAGGGTGAGCGAGGCCGCCAGGAACTTCCGCCTCCCCCTGCAGACGCCCAGCATCCTCCCGGAAGTGCTCTGCTAGTCCCAGGGCCGCGTCTCTGTCCGGGGCGTGGTGTCCTCGGCCTCCCTCATAATACTTTCTGAAAGGAAGGGCAAAGGACAGGGCTGAGTCCTCGGCACTGGACGTGGGAGCCACTGCAGAGAGAAAAGTCTCAAAGTGCCCACGTCCCCCAGGCAGCGCTCGGGCCCTCACTTTCTGCCTTGCCTCGGTCACGAGAGACAGGAGGTGACACCGTGGGCTTGCAGCCCATTGGAACGGAGGCGGGTACACAGATACGCGAGGGATGCTTAGGGGACAGGGACACACAGGAGCTCCAAGAGGCGCCCGTGGTCAGCACCTGATGTCCACCAATCACAGGCCAGGCGCATGCTTCTGCAGCCCAGCCCACAAGGCGACTTCAAGGTGTGCAGGAGAGACAGGGCCACACGGGTGTCCCTGGAGTCCCAGATGTGACAGCCAAGATCCTCATGGAGGCGGTGGTGAGGAAGGGGGACGGGTCCTGTGTCGCAGGAGTAGCCAGGAAGGCCCTGAGGCAGGAGGAGGCCGTGTATCAGGGGACACTGAGAGCGGGCTCCATGGGGCTGTCAAGGGGCTTCCTAACTGCACCTTCGGGGGTGTCCAGAGATGCTGGGACACACAGCACCATGTAGAGACAGACGAGAAGGAGCAGGTAATCTGCACCCGCCTGGAGAGGCGATCCGTAGACCAGGACAGTGGGCGGCCGTGAAGGGCAGAAGAGGGACCAGCACAGATTGGATGAAGCCCTGATCCTTCTCCCGAGGGTCTGACCCAGAAGCCTCACTGCCACCTGGCCCCTCACAGGGTGATACTTGGCTATGGAGCCGTGGAGCCTCTCACAGGGCACAGGGCACAGCCATGGGCGACAGATGCCCAGGAACAGCTGTCTGGGCATCCTGGCCACACACCCACAGCACATCCATCCTTCCTCTACTGCTGCCCTCGTCCCCTGATGCTGGTCTGTGAACGCCTCCTCTCCCGGCCATCTGGTCTCCCCCATTCCAGGGACACAGCTCCCCAACTGCCACCTCAGGTCTGACCACTGTCTGCTGAATGAATCAACGGGATCCAGCGCTGCCAGAGGTGGCACTGCCTACTCCGGAAGCTGCTGCTCAGCTGGTTGCTGACAAGAAACACCGAATGGAGCAAATCACTGCCCACCAGGCCTCGGCCACAGCCACACAGGCAGATTTGCAAATGACCTTCCAGCGAAACTCAAGTGATCACAGGCCGGAGGCGCAGTTAAGGAAGCCAAATCCTTTAGAGCACTGGGGCGGATGAGGCCCAGCTCCCGAGAAGTCTGCACTCCAACCCCACCGGCCACCCTGATGGTCAGACAGACTGGACAGCCTTTACCGGACCACCTATGCCGGGAGCTGCCCTGTAGACAGGGGTGCGCAGGGAGGGAGCTGAACTCAGCTGCACTGATATCTACATAGCACGTTAGAGGAAAGGCTCACTAACGCCCTCCCCTCCGCCTCCCATCGAGGAAGCCAATTCCCAAGCACACTGCGCACGGTTCCGAAGCAGGACCTGCTCTGGGTTGCTTTCATGATCAACCCAGCATCTCAAGTTAGATCCAGAAGCTGAGAACTTTGGCTTCTGAGTGACACCTCTGTGAGCTGGAAACACCCTCTGGAGGGGGGTCATGATGAGGGTCCCCAGGAGGTCAACGCAGGCACCTCCCACACCAGAGGAGGAGCAGAGGGAGCTGGAACTCACACTGACCTCGGGCGACTGTGGACGCCCCGACCAGGGAGACTGGCCCTGCCCTGCTCTGTCCCCAGTGACCCAGAGCCCCAAGGGATTCTAAGGGGACATCCTCATCTCACGGGCACAGACTCCTCGGCCAGCTGGCCAGCTCTGAGCTCTGCTCTCTGTCTGCACAGACAGAACTCCCATGGAGGGAGACCACTGCAGAAGCTGGAGAAATCACCATGCTGGCTAAACCACAAAAGCCAGAAACAAAGCTCAACATACACTGAGCATGGTGGTGGCCATCCTATAATCTCTGTCCTCAGGAGGACTACTGTGAGTTCAAGGTCAGTGAGACCCTCTCTCAGAAAACAAAAACAAAGCATGAAACCCTCCATGTATGGTTTAACTGCAGGTACCTTTCCGTCCAAAGTAATAAACTGTATATAGATCAGCAAATACCCACGAATCACTATTGTCTGTCTCTCTATGTAAATACAGATACTGACACAAGGCAGGCTCAACAAACATGGTCAATGTTTGCATTTTGAAAATACTGCAGTAAAAGACACATTGCCATTAACGCCTGAAAATCCTCCCCCACCTTAAAGCATCGGGATCCATGAGTCTTGCCCCTTTCGTAGAAGCTCTGGAGTCCTCCTTCCTGGTACCTCCGAGGTGGGATTATAACCACAGGAACTTCTGCCACCGAGTGCCAGTCCACAGAAGGCAGCCTCAGAACCACAACGCTGTGTCCTCCCCCAATTCACAGGGTCCGGCACGGTGTGACTTCCGGCTCTCCCCACAGTCAGAGTGACGTGAAAGGGAAACATTTTGCACCCATGCAGGACATGGAGGCAGCCAGGGCAGCGCAAGCAAAGACCCCTGGAAAGAGGGTTCCCGAGCTGCTGCAGGAAGCAGCCAGGACAGGGGATGCGTGTGTGCGGAGGGCGGCGGCGGGCAGGTGTCATCTACGGCAGTCCATTCCCTCAGTCCAACACTCACCGCTGTCCTCAATCACTTCTCATTCACAGGTACACGCAGGTAGCAAAAGGGTTTGCGTGTCGAAGTTATCACTGGGTACAGGCTAGGGATACTTTCATGTTATGCAAATAGGTACTTTACCACCTCTCACATAAGAAGCACGTGCTGCCTTTATAATTTAACAGCTACTGAAGAGTTTAAATCATTGTGACTTTGTATTTGTAATTCGAAACACTCTCCTCTGGGACTTGGCAGTGCACAGGCCACAGGCTGAGCTGTGCCCTCCACAGCGTCCTGGCCCAGAATCATCGCAGGCTGCTGTGTGCAAAGCCTCTCATGGGCCCAGGGTTACAGCAGACTTTCCACAGGGACCCAGGCACCAGGCGTCACCGGGAACTACATGTCAGAATCTCTGGGATTCAAGATAAAGTCTAGGAAATGACACGGCCGGGACCTCGGATCACTCGGGAGCCTAACTGATGCCAAGTATGTCGGGTCAGGCAGGCAGAGCCACCCAGGGTCTTCCCAAGGGGGCCGGGCTTCTGCGTGGATGGCCTCAGGGTCTTACAGAGGGGACAGGAGGAAGGACTCACTGTGGTGCAGGGCAGTGGATATTACCAGCCTCACTGCAGGGACCTCGGGGATCCACAGCCTTCCCTGCCCTGCAGGACCTCTCCAGCAAGGTCTGTGTTTCTGTCCGTCTATCTATCAATCATCTATCTATCTATGTATCTATCCACTGCTGTGCTGGGGACTGAACCCAGGCTTTCAGACTGAGCTACACCCCTAGCCCCTCCTCCCTTTAAAATTTTGACACAGGCTCTTGCGAGATTGCTCCTCCTGCCTCAGCCTCCAAGGCTGCCGGGATTAGCGGTGTGGCTTCTGCACACGACCTCAGCTGGCGCTGCTGTTGCGGTCCAAGCAGAGCGGAGGGACAGTGCGCTCTCTCCAGTCCCACAAGGCCTTCATGGTGGCCTGTCTCCTGACCTCGAGCTCCAGACCACACGCTCCCTGCCACAGGGGAAGTGCCCCAGGACCACCTGCCCAGCAAGTCGAAGGCCGAGCGGCCAGGGAGCCCGCCATCCCCACCTGGTTTCCGGAAGCCTGCTTGCAACTGCAGCCTCCAATACACTGCCCGGCTCCCGACATCTGTGCCGGGAGGAATGGAACGAGTGCAGCACCACAGGAGCGTTCCGGGGCAGAGGGTGGCCCTCGGGCACCCTGGGTGCACGCTGGCTGTGTTCACAGTCCAGCTTGGGGGACTCTGCTCTGCAGAACAGTGATGCCGTGATGGCCCTGGGGACAGCCTCGCTGGTGCCACTTCCTGTTTTCACTTGGAGGGTGGCACCCGGCCTCGGGGACACTGCATATGCAGTGATCTCAGGGACCCAGGACGACATGGCTGGAAGGGGCACTGCAGGCCTGGAGCTCACGGGGTCCCTTCCTGTCCCTTGGCGCCCTGGATCCCCCTGGGAACTCCAGCCCTCTTGTCTCAGGACCTTAGTGATGCCCGGCTTGAGGGCAGCAGTGAGCCCAGCCTCCTTCACAGCCAGGCCCACCTGACCCACCATCTTCTCTCAGCTCTGCAGGGAGGATGGGCTCCTTCCGTGTCACCTGAGGGTGTCACCTAGTTCCTCCCAGTCACAGGGAAAGCAAACTCCAAGACCTGGAGCACCTCCCATGGCTCCCGGCATTTAGAGCCCTGGAGGAAGGAGACTCAGCTTGGAGCAGCTGTGCTGCTCTGGCCGCACGGGCCACTTTGAAGCCCACAGCAAGGTCAGGCTTCCCTTCAGGATGGAGAGAGATCAGAGGGAACACGAGTCACATCAAGGGGACACTCGAGGTGCTGTGAGGCATGCAAACAAGTTCATGCGAGACAACATGAGCAGCTGGCTCCCTGCCACGGCTTCCACACACCAGGCGCAGGCAGGGCAACAGGCCAGCGGACACACCTGACCACCCTCAGGGTCATGTGACTTCATACAAGGAGAACCACTGAAGAGACGTGGGGGCACATGCCCATCATCCAGCTACTCGGGAGGCTGAGGCAGGAGGATTTCAAGTTGGAGGCCAGCTGAAGTAGCTGAGTAAGACCCTTTTAAAAACTTAAAAAATAAAGTAAAAGACCTGAGAATGAAGCTTAGTGCAGTGCCCGGGTTTAATTCCTGGTGCCACACACTCTTCTGCCTGTGGAAGAAGGGCAGACTCTCCTGAGCCGACCATGCAGCAATGCTGCTCTAACAGACAGGACAAACCCATGTCCAGGGATTGCTGGACCAGGCCTTGCACAGCAGCCCTTGGCCCCGCTCCCACTTTCTGAGGGTGACTAAGCCCACTCTGCAGGAGGAAAGCAGGGCGTCTCCCCAGGAGCCGGCCTCCACA